GACAGACACGTGCTAAAGGTATACGATTGCGCTTATTGTAAAAATAGGAAACAAGGCCGTTGGGGTTGGGGGGGGTTTTCTTCAAATACCTCATCAAATAAAGGTTAAATTTTGTCTGAGTCTGACAGAAAGGGAGAATGGGGATCGGAGAGTGTTTGTTTGTGTGCTCTAGATGATTTACACCCGGTTCCAATGGCATAAAAATGGTTTAAAATGATTCGTATCTAGGTGTTAGATGAATTTGCAATAATCTTGTCTGGGAGATTTCCTTTCTTCTCGAAGATCTGTCTGGGGAAGAAGAGCTCCCCCTCTCAAAATGACACGGTGTGTATCTCGTTAGTGCGGCGTTAAACTTCGACAGCGGCAAAAAAAAGAGTGACACGGGATTTTCCCAAGTTTTAGAGATAGTGTGTTCGGATCTGGGCCTATGAAAAGGGAAATATTCCTTCAAACTTGAAGACATTTTTATAGGTTCGTAATGAGGGTTAATTGGAGGGCTTACAGTACTGACAGACAGGGGATAATGTGACATCACGCCATTACAGTAAAGTAAAAAAAAGTGCCGAGTCGACACTGGAGAAAAAAACTGTTTACAGTGTACTTGTTAGCAGTGGTTTCCTGAAGCAGCCTTAGTAGCTGGTCTGTGACGTAAAGCAGTCCAAATTCTCGAATTAGTATGGAAAGTAAAGTAAAGTTGTTCCCGCATCCGATCCTGGACATTGGGGATTGCCTTGTTAGTGAGACAACTTCCTGGGCCTTCAGCATAATATTGTGGTAGGGGGGCCGCCAGTTCCTTTCCACGCCACCTTTACTTCCCAAGCTCGAAATTAGGTACCCATTACTGCTGGGTGGGCAGGAGGGAAACATTTCCGAAAACAGATATTATGTAGATTATTTTACCGATCCATTGATGTACACGATTCACCAATGCCTTTAAATAGTGCTGGGCGGCAAAGGTTCCCTATTATTGAAAGCTAAGAATCGTAGGAATCGACTCCGAACCCAATTACTTACTTTCAAATAATATGATTACTTCCAGTGTTACCTGGTTGGCTCCGAACATCTTCAGATTTAGGATAACATTGATTTCGGAACACTACGAAACATAAACCTTTATTTTTCAAAAATAAATTCTTAATTTTTTTAAAAGAGGAGATTTTAACGAGTAAAGCAACTGGTAACCATAGGTTTACTTAAAAAGGAGTCGGAGGAACTTTTCTTCCGTAGTACTCATCCTGAGAATCGGTTCCGGAATGGATTCTTTGCCCAACTCTACCTTTAAATCCAAGAAGATCTAGTTAAATATTATTGTTTTCGTAAGCGAAGGAATAGTGTAATGAACAACGATGTAGGCCTATTCACACACCCCGTAGCTCTGAAACCGAATTGTAGTTAACAGTTACTCAATAGAGCAGTGTCTGCCAGTCAAAATGCCAAAAAACCTCAAGCATCGCTGTGAGTCTTTCTATTCCGTCCCGAAACGTGGACTCAAAGAAAGATCCTATCAGGGGCCCGGCGTTGTGTCCTTGAGACAGGCACTTTACACGAATTTTCCTCACTTCATACAGATGGGAATGAGCGCCCAGTTTGTTAGTGTTTGAGCCCTTAATTGGCTACTTTCATTGTATGCTTTCCGGAAAGCTGGAAATGTTTTTGAGTGTTTTATGGTCTGCTGGGGTAAAAATAATAGTGTGTAAAACGCATAAAGCTTGCTGTCGAGCGGGGATACGAGCTATGCAAATGCTCTTTATCATCATTATTATTCTTATTCTTATTAGTAGTATTAGAATTATTATTCTTATTAGTATTATTAGTACTATTATTATTATTATTATTATTATCATTACTATTATTATTATTATTATTATTATTATCAATAATTATTATTATTATCATTATTATTATTATTATTTTTATTGTTACGAAGAGGCTAGCCGTAAGACTGCCAATCTAGCCGTACTTAAATCTAGGTTTGGCATTATCGACTCAAACCTGTTGAGAACACAGGTCTCATTAGATCTAGATCTAGTTGTTATTCAGGTTCAAATACATGCAAGTCAGTAAGGCACCTTTTGGTTTTGTCTGAAATACAAATACTTTAGGCATTGCGAACTAAAAATTTCATTTACAATTCAGCCATCAATATTAAGTACGGCTAGCCAAGAGGTCTAGTCGTACTTAAGTACGGCTAGACTGCCAGTCTAGCCGTACTTATCTTAGGCCGTATTAACATAAGAAAACAGGAGGTTTAAAATACATGCACTTTCATTAAGGCACCTGGTTTCGTCTCAAATACAAATACTTTAGGTACTGCAAACTAAAAATGTATATTATTATTTACAATTCAGTAGGCCTATTTTTCTAATAGTCAGTCTAGCCATCATATTAAGAATAAGTACGGCTAGCCCAGCTGTCTAAGTAAGTCTAGCCGTACTTAAGTACTGCTAGACTGCCAGTCTAGCTGTCCTTAAGTACGGCTAGCCTCTTCTTTATTATTAATATAACTAAAGGTGCCATTACTGCTATTTTGATTTTATTTGAACAACGACTTATTATGCTCATAATCGTGTTGATTTATTATTCCTCGGTGATGAACAGGTGACCCCATATTCTCCGGCTGAAGACAAAGACAAAGTGAAAACCTTCGTTCCATTAGTATCCTGTAAAGTAGGTTTTCAATATGTGAGGAACTGGAGCCAAAATTGCCGAGTCGAACATAACGACATGAGCGGGATTATAACCGTATTAAAGTATTCTACTTCAAACTATTTTTTGCAGTTGCGAGCGCCGTAAAACTCTATACCAAACAAACAAAACTATTTTTTGTATGGATTTAGCCACTCACTAGAAACTCATAAATAATTTCCAAGGCAGAGCATTTGGCCTTGGGTTAAAGTATCGGAAAAGGAAGAGTAAGAAAACATTTACGTCTTTAAGGTTTGGAAAGGCTAATCCGCCTCATCCCCCCAAAAAAAACACCCTTAAAAAGGAATTTTGCACAAATACCCCCGAATGCATTATCAAACATGGGGAGAGAGAGAAAGAGAGAGAGAGAGAGA